CTCCAGTGGAGGCCAGAGCCCAGAGCCCAGTGGCCCTCGAGGACAGGGTAGAACTGCCCCAGTGGGTTTCCGAGGCTGGACCTCTGCACGGTGGTCGAAAGCCTGTTTTTCTTTGGAGATGGGACTATCACCCCCGCTTTCCTGTGCGCCCCGCCTCCTGTCTTCAGTACAGGGGCTTCTCCACGGACAGAAATCTGCTGAGGTTCCCGTCTCCCGGCCTCCTGAGTAGACCTGAGTGAGTGATCCCGTGGGGCTGGTGTGCGACACACGGCAGTGGGCGTCTGCTCTGTGCATGGTGCTCCTTCCACAGGCCCGCATTCCGTCTCGGCAACCCTGGCGGGATAAGCGGGGGCTGCTAACCTCCAGGCTGGTGGTTCAAACCTGCCAGGTGCTCCTCAGGAGCAAGCGGAGGCTGCCTGTTCCCACACGGACCGCCTGCCTGAGGGCTCGATGCACTTGGAAGCAGCTCTAGGGCAGGGTTGGGCTCTGGCTGTGGGTGGCCTCCAGGGTAACGCATCTGGGTGCTGACCGCCAGGTGGGAAGTTCACACCTCACCGTCTTCTGGGGAGACGATGAGGCAGCCTGGTCCTTCGAAGGACACCCAGGGTTTCTGAGTTCCGCCATGACCCCGGCGGGCTCGCCTTGCACCAGGTTCTGTACGGTGGCAGGGGGGTTTCTCCTGTTTTGCTCGGTGTCTCAGTGGATGGACTCCTTGTTCTCACCCGGTTCAAGTGGCGGACCTGGACCAAAGGCCTCACGCTTGTTCCTGGAGTGCTTTCTAAAGGGCGGTGCCCCACCGCTGCGTCCTGAACCGCACGTCCACCAGCCCCTGCCCTGAAAGCTGGACAGATAGACCATGGTCGGTGTGCTTCTCTGCTGTCCTGGGAGGCCCGTGTCTTTGCAGCTTGTGGTGAGCCCAGGGTCTTGAGAGCCTTGCTCTGGTCAGGGTCGGCGTGGTAGCAGGCAGTGGCTTGGTGCCTGGTGCTCTGTGTGGCCATGACTCAGGCCCTGGTCATTTCCAGCTGCTCCCTGTGTTCCTCTGGGTCGACCAGAGAAACAAATCCAGAGACGCTCGTAGGTGTGTAAGAGAGAGGTTTATATCAGAGTAATTGTATACTGAGAAAACATCCCAGCCCAGTCCAGATCAAGCCCATAAGCCTGATATTAGCCCTATGTCTAATACCAGTCTATAAAGTCCTCTTCAGACTCACACAACACATGCAATGATGCCAAACGCAGGAAGATCACAGGCCGGTGGGTGGAAGGTCCTGTGGATCCAGTGGTGGTGGAAGCATCTCAGCGCTGGCGTGGGTCTCCAGGTGGCTCCTCCAGCTCCAGGGCTCTGGCTCCATCAGTGTAGCTCCATGTGGCTTGTTCACAGGAATGTCTCCCAGGGAGAGTGCATGTCCTGTCTCCAGGGAGGAAGACAGGCGTTCCCGAATCCTCAGGAGAAGGCCACGCCCACACAGAGGCCTCATTGGCTGTGACCTGACTGACAGGCTAGACCCCACCCCTTCGCTCAAGTGGACAGATGATGTCACTGCCACAGGGACCCCCCTAGAGTTCTGTTTGCCCTTGAACCTGGGCTGTCCTTGAGCTTTCTCACTGTCAGCTCCCAAGTCCTTCTCCCACAGGACCCTGCCTTGAGCCTGCTTCCCCCTCCCCTCCCCTCCCCCAGAGCGACCCAGCTGAGCTGTGCTCGCCTGTGATCCCCAATGGTGCCTCCAGGAAGGAGCCGGCACCACATTTTGCCGCAGCGGTGTCTGGTTCTCCACCTCGGGCTCACTTCTGCAGCCCCCATGGTGCTGTTGGCTGGAGAGAGGCGTGTTCCCTCGGGCCTTCGTTTTCGGGGGCTGGTAGGTAGCCAGGTGCTGCGGTCAGGTCCACAGAACGGACCCCCGCCGAGTTCTGCGCCAGCCGCTGGCCCCACTTAGTCCGTGCTACAGAGCCAGCCACGGCGTCCATCGTCCCCTGGAGGGCCTTCTCCACGGGACCACGCAGGACGCCTTCTCCAGGACCGGGCTCTCTGGACAGCATGTCCGAAGGACATGACTGGACGTCTCACGCGCCTTACCTCTAAGGAGCACTCTGGCTATAGTTCTTTGTGTAAAACAATCATTTTCTTGGGGGCTCCTACAGCTCTCAGCACAATCCATCCACCCGCCCACGTGTCAAGCACATTTGTACATTTGTGCCATCATCGTTCTCAAAACCTCTCTTTCGACCTGAGCCCTGGGTGTCGGCGCCTCGTTCTCCTCCCTCAGGACTGTGCGCTCACGTGCTCCTGCTCTGAGATGGATTCCTTCGTTCCTCTGGCCGTCTGCACACACGCGCTACTTCCTCGCTCGGCCTCCCACTGGCCTGTCACACGCACAGACAGGGGACCCCTGGCGGGGCCACGCGCACCTCCGTCTTGCTTTCAGCCCTTTAGAGAGAGCTCCTGCCACAGATTTGCCTAATGCGTCCCCTGGTCACCTGACTGCTGCATCCAGGGGCAGGCGGGGGCTGCCGCCAGGACCGGGGGTGGGGGGTGGGGGGCAGGGGATGAACTGGCCGTGCTCCAGGAGGAGGCCTGCGGCCCTCTCTGACCATGGCCGAGCAAGGAGGCCGGGGGAGGGGGGCTGGGGTCAGCGCGTCCCTGAGTTGTCCCCGAGCGTCCTCCCCGGGAAGGAATGTGATGGATGGATGATGCTCACGTTGGCACTGGCTGTCACCTGTATCGGGGTCCCTCCTCCGTGAAGGCGTCATAATGGGGAGCCCCTCAGACCTCATCGATGTCCCCCTCAGCACTAGCACCTATTACAGCTGTGACTTCTCATGAGGGGATCCCCATGTCCTGCCCGCTGAAAAAACTGAGCCTTACAGTGGTGAGAAGACCCCACCTGCCAAGTGGGGGGGGATGCGGGGGCGGGAGGTGGGCCGGGCTGGTGCCGGTGTGGGGGGAGAGTGTGTGTGGAGAGGGTCTGGGGAGGAGTGGAGGGAAGGTGCCTCACCCTCTAGCCCCCACACAGGGAGGCCCCAAGCTGGTGAGGCTCATCCAGACCTAAAGGGGGTTCTACATGCAGTGGGGGTTCTAGATTTTGAAGAGGGGGCTCCACACCTGAGGTGGGCTCTGTATTATGTGTTTGGGGTACAGACTTGGAGTCCAGCCTGCAGGCCGGCTCTGCCTCTTCTAGGGGTACCGGGCCCTCAGGTGCCTTAGGCTGGGTGCAGGGGTGGGGGAGGTGCACAGGCAGAAGGCTGGGTGCAGGGGTCGGCCCCCAGGGTGAAGGGAGATGGGCAGCAGGGCCGCAGCCCTGGGGAGTCGCAGCCTGTTTGTGTGTTCCTTACACAGGAAGGACCCAGCCGCCCAGCCAGGGAGGAGGGAGCCTGCTGGGTGCCTGCACCTGCAGTGGGGGGTGGGGGTGATGGGGTCACATGGAGTAGCGCAGATGGAGAGGGAGGGAGGGACATCACCCTGGCAACAGCAGAGTGCTTGCGGCACCCGACACTGGGGGGGTTCTCAGCACTGAGGGTGGTGTTGTGCGTGTGCGGGCACCCCGTGCCCGAGGGAGAGCAGTGTGTGTGTGAGTACGTGGATGTGAGTGTGTTAGTGTGAATGTGTGTGTGCATGGATGTCAGTGAGAGTATGTGTGAGCGTGAGTGTTCATGACTGTGTGTGCATGTGAGAGTGAGCATGTGCAAATGTGATTGTGAATGTGTGTGTGTTAGTCTGGTTGCACGAGTGTGTGAGAGTGTGTGAATGAGAATGTATGTGTGTATGTGTGAACGTGTACTTTCCTGGCTGCTCACGTAGATATGTACAGGTAGAGACACACACCCCCTCAAACCACCACCCACCGCCTCACCTGTGAAGGCCCAGGGTGGCGCAGGATAGTCTCCCCACTGGGGCCCACTTTGCTCCACAGCCCTCTTCCCCACAGCTCCCCGCTGTGGGGGACAGACCTGGGGTCTCAGCAGCGAGCCCTGCTGCAGACAGGGCTGCCCCCATCCTGCAGCGTCCCACCTGCCCGGTCCACAAGCAGGCCTGGGGTCCCTGGGGTGTGTGTGTGTGTGTGTGTGTGTGTGTGATGTGGCCCCTGGTGTGGGCAAAAGGGCACTGGTACAGTCAGCTTGGGAGGGACCCTCAGGCACCTGTCCTTTGCTGCCAGGTGAGGGTAGGAGGGCCTTGGTCTGAGTGTGGAGCGGTGGTGGGCATGGGGACTGAACGAGCAATTGGCCACTGAATGGGGTGGACAGGGGAAGGGTGACCGTGGGAGTGGGCAGGAGGGACAGGCTGGGTGAGCTGCCTACCCACGGTGCCCCTCTGTCCAGGGGAGGCTGGGCTGCCCACACCAGACAAGTAGACCTGGCTGGGTGCCTGTCAACTTGCTTCCTGGGGGGCCAGAATAGCTCAGGCCGCCCTCAGGCCCCCAGCGACCCCCTCTCTGGATGGAAACAGGGCTCAGGGTCCCCCGCAAACCAGCAAGGGGCCAATTGAAGGGGCTGCAGGAGTGGAGGGAGCTGGCGGTCTTCTTCCTGGGGACGGCTGGTCCTGACCTCTCTCTTGCAGCCCCTGTAGTGGACATTGTCCCTGTGCCCTGCCTGCCCTCTCTGAGTCGCATGGCCTTCCTGGGGCCACCCCGGCAGCCTGGGCTGCCCTGACAGCCCCCAGGTGGGCTCGGGGCTGAGGGGGGTGACAGTGCCCAGGGGAGAGACATGAAGGGCAGCCCTGCAGCCTCAAAGCCCTGCCTTTGGGGACCCCAGGCTGGGCAGGCTGCCGGGAAACCACAGCGACACCCAGTGGCTGGCCGCAGGTCTGCAGGTCCTGGCCACGGTGGCCCCCCTGTTGGTCCTGCATGTCCCCTAGGGGGTCCAGGCTGGCCTCCTAGAGCTGGAAGTTCGGGTACCGGGGTGCAGGGCTGCACAGGCCCAGACCACAGGGGCTTAGGGTGGGCTGGGGCACCCAGGGCTGGCCCTGGAGGTATGGAAGGAAGACTACTGTGCCCTCCCCCTGGCAGACGGCGCCCCTCTCAGCGAGCTGTCCTGGTCGTCCTCCCTGGCCGTGGTGGCAGTGTCCTTCTCTGGGCTCTTCAGTGTCGTGGTCCTCATGCTGGCCTGCCTGTGCTGTAAGAAGGGTGCTATCGGCTTCAAGGTGAGGGCGCTGCGGGGGAGGCCAGGGTCAGGCGGGAAGACTGGGAAATGGGGGCTGGCTGGGGGACGAGGCCACAGTCTTGCCAGTGTGTCCACTTGGCCCTAAGCTCCCGTCTCTCCTGGGGCGACAAGGTCACTGCTCTCTGGCCAGGGGCCACCGTGAGAACATTTGGGGACCCTGGAAATCCCTGGCCTGGGATCACCTCTGGGGGCTGAGGGCTGCATAATGGGAAGGCCTGGGGGCTCCTGGGAACCCCAGACCACTGCTTCCCCTGGGTAGAGGCCTCCCTGTGGAGCGGTGGTCTCAGCTGTCCCAGCCCAGGCCAGGTCTTCTGAGGTTAGGCTACGAACCAGAGGGCTGGCTGGGCAGGGGGCCTCCTGACCTGGGAGGGTGCTCCCCAGACTCTGACTTCCTGATGAGGATTGGCCAGGGTTTCTGGGCTTCGTTCAGGATGCCGCCTGCCCCCCATCACATGCACCGTGGTTATAGCCCTGGGCAGGGAGGCGGGCTGAGCAGGCAGAAGGGTGGGGGGAGGGGGGCCCTCCCTTGCTGACCCAGCACAGCACAGCACTGAGTATCAGCTTCTGGTCCTCCCATGCTGCAGCCCTGCCCTGGTCAGAGGTCAGATTCCTGGCCTGGGGACATCAGAGACAGTTCCTGGCCACCTCTGGGGACCACACACCCATCTGTGTTTCGGGGTGCCCAGCCTGAGACCCCAGAGGTGGATGGTGGGGGACCTCAGCCCTCTGCTGTGCCCACCCGTGACCCCCCTGCAGTGGACCCTGCCTAGCCCCAGGACCCCCTAAGAGCAGGCTGTGGCCTCTGGGTGCTGTGTGGGCCTGGGGGCCGTTCCTGAGCTGTGGGCAGTTCAGGGCTTCCTGAGGATCCCAGGGCCGGGGCGGGGCGAGGGCTCTGGGGGTGAGCAGTCCTCCAGGAGCTGAGCAAGAACAAGGCCCCAAACAAAGGCAGGCTGCGGCCCTCCCACCAGTGCCCTCCTCACCTCCAGACCATGCTGGAACATTCTGGCGCCAGTGCGCCCTGGTGGGAGGACTGCCTCCTCCTCCAGGGCCTCCTGGGCCCTGGGCAATGCCCGGCCCGCCCGCCTGGGCTGTGCTCGGAGAGGGCCATGCTCACTCTGGCCTGCCTGCTGGCCAGCTTGGTCCGAAGCCTCCTGCAAGCCTCCAGGCAGCATGGCCAGGTAACTCGTGGGCCAGGGCCAGGGTGGGGTGAGGGGCTTCTGTCCCAGGCACCTTCTGGGGCTGGAGAGAGCTGGGGCCGAGACTGCAGAGGGAATTCGAGGTGCCCAGACCAGGTAGATGGTGAGGGACTGGCTCAGACAGCTCTGTGTACCCCAGGAAAGAGAGTGCCTGGTGTGTCCTCTGAGTGCAGATCACCCAGACTGGCCACAGGGCCACCAGAGGGCCACCTCCCTTCCTCAAGCTGAGAACACAGGCCCCACAGGGAGGGGGCCTGGGGTCACTTGGTGTCCCTCAGAGCTGGGACCAGAAGCTGAGTGTGCCCAGCAGGCTGGGTCTGGGGTCCCCCTGAGGGGCCTGTGTGGGTGTGGGGCTTTCCTTCTGGGGTGGCATTAGGGTGACCAGGGGTATCTGGGGATCTGGGGCTCTCTGCTCAGGATTACACCCTGGCCTGATTGATGTGTCGGTGTGGACAAATGTGTGGGTGCAAACGTGTGTATGTGTGAAGGTGTGAGGGCTTGTGTGCATGTGTCTGAGTGAGAGCATGCGTGTGTACACGTGCACGTGCCTGTGGGCGTGTAAGTGCGTGCATAGGTACACATATGGGAGCAGGTTAACACCTGACCGTGTGTGTGAGCTGGTGTGCATGACTGCACGCGTGAGTGTGTAAGCATCTGTGCACACGTACATGCAGTGGTGGCCGTGAGTGAACATATGGGAGTGCATGTGTGTTGGGCGTGTATGTGTAAGTCTGCATACGTGTGTCCCTGACAGCGTGTGAGCATGTGCGTGTGTGCATGTGTGTGGTGAGGGTGTCTGCCCAGCTGTGAAGCTCAGACAGGGACGGCAGCCCCATTTCAAAGTAGCAGCCTGCCCAGCGTTGCTGGCTCTGGTTGCCCAGAGCGGGCTCTTAAGGAGCCAGGGTGCTCCCTTCCAGGAGTTGGGTGTGGACACAGGTGAGCAGGAGACGGCCCGCCCAGGGCAAAGGTCAGGGACTGCTACCAGACCGATGGCTGTGGTAGGTGGCAGGGGTGCCAGGCTGGGGGCCAAGGATGCTGGGGTACCTGCTCTGGGGTGCTCGGGAGGGCCCCTGAAGCACTGGCTGCTTCTCCCAGGGGACAATGGGCCCCCACTTTCCTGTCATCCTGGCAGGAGGTAGCTGCTCAGAGGTGGGGGTGGGGACTGTTGAGGGCAGGGCCTGCCAAGAGTTTGCAAGGACTACCGTGGGTCTTAGCTGGTCTTAGCACCGTGGCCTCTGTTCCGGGATGCCCCCAGCCCCATCTGGCTAGGGCAGGGTAAGGTCCACTTTCGGCTCCTACCCTCCGACCATGAGCTGGGCTGTCCTCCCCTCTCGTGGCTCCTCTTCCCCCCATGCCCTGACTCCTGGTCACCCCTTGGCAAGGCTGCCCCTAGGCAGAAGAAGGCTCCCCTGGGGAGAGGAGGGTGTGTATGCGGGGGTAGGTGCTCTGTCCCCGGGGCAGTGGAGGACCAGCTGGGGGGTCTGTGGTTGGTAGGGCCCGGGGCTGCTGCACCTGCAGCTCTGGGATTGTGCCCCCCTCCCCCGCCACAGGAGTTTGAAAATGCAGACGGGGAGGAGTATGCAGACAGCTTCTCCGCGCAGGGTTCCCCGGGGGCGGCTGCAGGGGCGCGGGGCGGCCCCGACGTGTACATCCTACCACTGGCTGAGGTCTCTCTGCCCGCCGCCAAGCAGCCTGGACGCTCAGGTGAGTGGGTCCCCCTCTCTCTCCACCAGCCCCAGCTCCCGCCAGCAGGCTGGTCTCAGGCAGGCTGAAGCTGGGTGCCGGCGGCCCCTGTCTTTTAGACAGACGACTGCCACCTGTCCCTGCCCCGGGGGCCCTGGAACGGCACCCCATTCCCAGCTGTAGGGTCAAGGGCGTGTGGCCCCCACTCCTAGTTGGGAGGACAGCTATTCCCTTCCCACCTCCCGAGGGGTTCTGGGAGCAGGGGGTAGGCGGGCATGGGGCTCTTCTGTGCCTAGCTGCTGACCCTGGATTCCCACTCCTGTGATATGCGATCCCCTCAGTGCCCCCCTCAGTGTGCCCTCCCCTCAGTGCCCCCCTCAGTGCCCTGAGGAGACACTGGCCCCATTGTGCTCTGGATGCTGCCCACATGGGGAGGGACCCCAGGCTCGGACCGTTGGCTTCTTAGCTGGCTCCTAGGCAGGACCTCCCAGCCTGGCTTCCCACCTTGGCCGTACCCCCTGTGAGAGCCCTGTCCTGACCTGGCATGGAGGCTTAGACCCTCATAGCCATGTTAAGTCCCTACTCCCTGGATTCCCCTTCTGTTACCCCTCCTGAACCCGAGGAGGGGTCTAGGGCCCAGGGGCTAGGCCCGGGTCCTCTGATAACCTGGTGACAGAGCGTCCCAGGTAGCACTGTCATAGGCCCACTCCAAGACCCAGCATCCATCTGGCCTGGGCCCCCCCAAGGTCAGGCAGAGTGAGGCCTGGCCCCCCCTACCGGTGTGGCCCCCCCCACAGGTATGCTGCTGAGTTAGGGCTGAGTGGGGAGGCTCTCCTTCCGGGACCCCTTGACTTCCCGGGTGACCCAAGGACACCCCAACCCAGCTGCCTGTGCCTCTTGTAGACTGTACCCTTGGTCAGGGGGACAGGGGTGCCCATTTCTCTGTTTCTGCTGCTCTGGCCTAAGGATTTTGGAGACCCCTGTTTCCTGGAAGGGGTAAATCTGGGGCGATGCTGGGTGTCACCTCAATTTCCCAACCTGCCAACATCCCGGGCCAGAGAGGAGGGTTCTCTTATAAGCCAGCCCAGCCCTGCCAGGCATCCCCCAGGCTCTGGTCTTGGGTCCATGCCCCCCACCCCACCCTGCTGCTCTTGGCACTGGTCCAGCCCTCTGGCGTGGGAGCAGAATTCAGGGAATCCCTCAGGGTGCAGGTGGGGCGTGGGTGAGCTTGGCTGTTCCACTCGGCCTGCTGACCCTTCCCCGCTGACCTCAGCCTGCTGGCCCGCGGGCAGAAAAGGCCCAGTGTGTCCAGGAGGCCGTGCCAAGCAGCCCCCAACAAAGGGCCCTTTGGAGCATGGGCGCTGGAATGCCAGGCTGCGGCAGGGGTGAGGGCACGGCTCGCTCCAGCCCCACCCCCGCCGGTGCCCCTCTGCCCCTCTGCTGGCCTGGTGTGGTCCAGGCCCCGCCCTCTCCCACCATGGCCATCCCTGTGGCTTGGGCGCCCCTCCCAGAGCCACCCAGAAAGATGTGTGGCAGGACTCTGCTGAGCCTGACCACGGCTCCCAGGCCGGGCCTCCGCTAGCCCTCCCCATTCCAGGGGGGCCTGGGGGCTCCCACGATCACTCCCTTGAAGGGTGGGGGTGGGGCAGGAGGCTGGGGAGGTCCTGAAGCCCCTTCCCTGTCTGTCTCTGTGCGGGGCAGTGCAACTCCTCAAGTGCGCGGAGCCGGGCCGGCACAGCCTGCTGTACCTGAAGGAGATCGGCCATGGCTGGTTTGGGAAGGTGAGTGGGGGCGGGGCTCGGGGGTGCCTGGCTGCCCTGATTCCCCTCATTGGCAGCCATCCTGAGCTGGAGTGCCCAGGGTCCCAGGGTGCCCAGCCTGGGCCTGAAGACCCTGGTCCCTCTTCCTCACCACAGAGACCCCCCAAGAGCCCAGAAGCCTGGGGAGCTTGGGAGAGATAGACATAGAGACCCAAACATTACAGTCCGAGCGGTCTCAGGGAGGGGCCCCGTGCCCACCTGCATGTGGGTAAACTGATACATGGAGCAAGAAGAAACTGTGGGGAGGAGGACGAAAGGGCACTTAGGGAAGAGAGAATGAGGAGGGACTTGGGGGCATGAAGGGCCAGGAAGATGCCCTCCCGCCCACACCCGCCCGCAGGTGTTTCTGGGGGAGGTTACCTCGGGCGTCAGCAGCAGCCAGGTGGTGGTGAAGGAGCTGAAGGCCAGCGCCAGCGTGCAGGAGCAGAGCCACTTCCTGGAGGAAGCCCAGCCCTACAGGTGGGCCGAGGGGCAGGGCGAGGCCAGGCGAGGGGGCCAAGCAGGGATGCTGTGGGCACAGCCTGTGGGGGCGGGTGATGGCCGAGCTGGGACACGGTGGCCCCTGGAAACAAAGGCCAGCTCTGTGCTGCCCCCTGGCCCCTCCCCTGGGGCCGGCCCCGCCTGCCTGCTCCCCCCACCCCACCCCACGGGCTTCACCGGGTGCCGTCCCCACAGGGCCCTGCAACACAACAACCTGTTGCCGTGCCTGGCGCAGTGCGTGGAGGTCACGCCCTACCTGCTGGTGATGGAGCTCTGCCCACTGGTGAGTCGGGTGTCTGCGGGTCTGTGGGGCGGGCGACCCTCCACCGCCAGGGCCTCCACTCCGGCCTCTGGCAGCACAAGGCCAGGAAAGGAGATGGGCACAGACTCTCCGGAGGGACCCCCACTCACTCAGCCCTACCTGTGGGCCTACCAGAGAGAGCATCGGGCCTGCCCACCCTCTCCAGAGGGGGCCTACGAGGGGGGCTCTTCCCCTACTGGCCCCATGGGGCATCCAGCTCTGGTGGTGGGCTTCCAGATGGGTCTGTGCACTGGGGCTGTCCCCTGGACACCAGGCCCACTGCTTGTGGCCTCTCCAGGCACAGCGGTCACCTCCTGGGCTTCCCAATCTGGGCCCTTTCCGGCTGTAGTAGCTCAGCTCACCAGCTCCAGCCCGGCCCTCTGTGGACCCAGCTCTCCTCTGCCAAGACACAACCCTCCCGACCCCACAGGGCTGCTGGGCTCAGGGGGGTGGGGGGTGGTTTAGAGAAAGCATGCCCCAAAGGACCCACTTCTGTGCAGGGATCATACAGCTCACCTCAGGGCAGCCCCCCTTGGGCACCTGCAACCCACTGCTGTTAGCTGGGGCTCCCGCTGGTCCCCACCAGCCCACCTCCCGGCTTCTGTGACCGGCCTGCTCCTCTCGGCAGGGGGACCTCAAAGGTTTCCTTCGGAGCTGCCGGATGGCGGAGTCCATGGCGCCCGACCCGCTGACGCTGCAGCGGATGGCCTGCGAGGTGGCCTGTGGCATCCTGCACCTGCACCACCACCACTACGTGCACAGGTGAGCGCGGC